CCTGGTATGTCCTTCCGGTTACCTGTTCTTTTTCTTTCTGCGTGGTGATTCTATATCTATGCCATATTCTTCTCTTTTTCTCCTATGACCTCGTTGTCTTCTTTGGGTCCCTGTGGTATCGATCTTATTCTTATTTTCCCGTGGCTCTATTCCTACCCCATTTCTTTCGGACATGCAATTCCATCAAAATTCCCGCATTTCTCCTACCTGTCATGCATTTCCCGCTCTGGGTCTCCCTCTCACCTGTTTCGGCTGTGCGCTTTCGAACCTCTGTGTTAGATTAGTCATTCGATGTGATGCATTCCAGCGGTCCCTCGATGTCTGTGTTGAATGTCCTGTTCTGTTCTGTTTGTTTCTTTTTTTTTTGTCTGGTTTTCATGCGGCGCTGCTCCCGGCAGCCCAATGACGCAGGATCGCTGTCACGGTTTCCTTTTTCTGTCTGTCTGTTTTCCCTTTCCTCCTCCTCCTCCTCCGGTTCTGGTCATTCTTGTGGGAGTGTCAGTGGTGAGGCGGTCCGGTCTCTTCTTGCATCCGAATAGTGGTCGTTCTTTTGCTGCTACGTTGTACGCTGTAGGTAGGCAGGGAATTTTGCAAATGCGAAAAGTAATCCAGTGGCATGTGTGCATGAGTAGATGGCTTACCGTGATCCTGCTGGCTGGGTCATAATCCACCACTTGGTGTTTTGATAAGAGGATACACCACGTAATTATTTCTCTTTTATTTTGACCGATTCCTCTCTTTGTCGTCTGCGTAATGCGAGACTCGTCACTCCATTGCCAACTGGACCGAATTGCCTGCGACAGTTTACCCAGTCCTGCACTCACGTGATAATACACTGCCTTAGGCCTCAGGCATCACAGGTTTACTCTGGCAAGGATCCGATAGGACAGGCTGTTCAGCCTATCAGGCTTAGTTGCCAAGCCTCCTGTACGAAGCTCGTCGTTTGGATCTCTGGACGGGTTCTCATTGGCCAAAGCGAGGTGCCTATCATGACCTCCGCAATACTCCAATACTCTAGATCTAGCATCCCATCTGTACTCCCTCCTGATGAGCTCAATTCATCCGTCCAAAGGTACTGGTAGCAGGATTTCTGCTGTGCTCGCGATATTATTGAGGAATGATACTTCATCTGAATTAACCTTGTTTGAAAATTCCCTAGAATGATATACTCCGGAGTATAACCTTACTCCGACTCCACTTCGCCTTCTTAAGACTTGCCCATAGTCCAGATGTTCATTTAGCTTGCGAAACTATCACATTTACGGAGTAAGGTGCTGATCGTTCATGGACTGGCCCCTGTCTAGGCTGTCCTTAGGAGAAGCTTCTGTTTCTGTTTCCAGAACCGTTTGTACTGTACGGAGTACATTACAACACTTGCGCCTCTCATCTCTGAATTGGTGAGTTAAATTAGCTAAGGCTACTCTTCGGCCCTCTGACACTTTGTTCCCGTAGCTAGCTGACTCGATAGCTAGATAACACGTTGATTAAGGATTAAACGCGAAATGATGGAATACGAACGAGACGACTCCGACACGGGGTCGTCCTCTCGGTGAGGCAGAGCGAATCACCCTGGATGAATATACGTACAGTACACTCAGAAAGATGCTAACCCGTGATCGCGACGTCGCGTCTCCAGATCGAACAGTCATTCCGATCGCCTCTTCAACCCAGCCAAAGAAGCCAGGTTCGATGTCGACCTCCGCCTCGTGGAATCCAAACGCGGGCCGTGGACGTGGGCTGCATGCAAGACGAGCTCTGTCCATCATGCCATCAGTACCCGCCCCACGACGGCAGCTTCGTCATCGCCGTCGACGGGGCGTGTTCCAACAACGGCCGGACGGGCGCGCGAGCCGCTGCAGGAGTGTACTTTGGGAAGCGGTCGCGCTGCAACAAGAGCTTTGTGCTGGACCCTGACCTGAACCCAACCAGCCAGGTGGCCGAACTGAGCGCGGCGATCCGCACCCTCGAGCACGCGCTCGTCCTGCAGGCGAAAGGCCGCAGAAAGGGCAAAGAATGGCAGCAAGTCGTCATCAAGGCCGATTCGGAGTACCTGGTCAAAGGCATGACGGCGTGGATCGCCAAGTGGAAGCGCAACGGCTACCAGAACTGCGCGGGGAAGCCGGTCACAAACGGCGAGCTCTTTTGCAGACTGGACGGGCTGGTGGCGGAGCTGGAGGAGCAGGGCGTGCAGGTCCAGTTTTGGCATGTGCCAAGGCAGTATAACCAGCAGGCCAATCTTCTGGCCAGGAGGGCGTTGAATCGGTGAGTTGGAGGTTATCCGTTGAAATTGTGGATGGTTCTTGTATTTCTGGTTTCATTTTTTCTGTATATCTATTCAATGTTTATATCAAGTTTCTAGATCAAATAGATCCCCCTAGTATTAAGATCATTGATACTATATGAATCACTCCACAGGCATGACAGCTTTTCTCGAACAAAAACAAAAAAAATAATCCAGCCGGAGTGCCGCCTCACAGACTGTTGTGATGTACTATACGTGCCTATGTAAGCAAGTAGACAAATACTGTACTACATAGCGATGATTATCCAATTGTATATTAAATAAGAGATCAAATGAGTGTCGTACCCAAAACTACCTAACTATTAACCTCATTTACTACATCCAAACAGCTGTGTTATGTGTCATGCAACTACTGATTCCTTCCCTCTAGACACCACGTAACCTAATGCTTTTCTTCCAGTTTGAGCAATTTTACTTTCCCTCGGCTGGTAAATAATCACCCCAATGGTAGATGGAGATGGCGATCCTCAGGATTAACATTCCGGGAGGGTGCCTATAGTGATATCAGCAAGCCAGACAGGCAAAGACAAGCAAAGACAGTCAAGTAGATATGGTTATAGCAGGAACTTACTAGTCGAGCAATTCTCATCGGTATAAAACCCGCTAACATAGCATCCCAAATCTGCGTTCCAATCCCAGGTACTTAAAAAGATCCAGCGTCAGCCAGCCTTTTCCTGTCAACTGTCTTCATTTTGGATGGATTCTCACCAGTTCCCCTCATAGCAATCCCCAACCGCATAGCACGAAAAATCCCAATACTCGCCCGGATTCACGGTCGTGATCACCTCGCAGCTAAAGGATGGACAGGCGCGGCAGTTCACGGCGCCGTCGTTGCCAATGATCTCGCAGACTTCGTCGCGTTTGGTGAGGTTGGGGTTGGCTCTGGGGTTTGGTCTGGGATTGGGATTCGGATTGGGATCGGGATTGGGGCTAGGAGCTCCGCTGACGAGGGCTGCCAAGGGGAGGGCCAGGAGGAGGATTGAAGGGATGGACTTCATGATGGTATGGTTGATTGTAGGCAAGCTTGAATGTGACTGTTATGTCGTTGAAGTGGTTCTTGTTGAGGGTGATGAAAAGAGGTTGGAAACTCGGGATGAAGCACACTTTATATATGTTCATCCGGCCTCCATGATGAAGGTTCTCCTTTCTTCCTTACTCTTTATCCTCCGCTCTCCATTCTCCCTACCTGGCCATATTGGCCGACTCGTAGATTCAGCTGAGCACCGATGTAACTGTACTGCTGGCCCTGATCTCCATATGAAGTCCACTCCAGAACTGCCCAATATTGTATACGAGGTATTGCAGCTGCAAGTAAGATACGAGAAAAGTCTACAGACCCGTATCTCAGGGAAAGAGGAGCAAATCCGGACCAATCTTGCTGCTTGGTGCAGCCACGTTGCTGACGTCCGGACAGGTGGCGGACAGTCAGGACAGTCAATGGACGAATTATCTCGCTATTTACCATGCTCGTCTCTATCAGGCGAAGCAGGAATACGAGAAGATTGCTAGCTTGCCAGCAGTAGTAGGAGTAGCAGCAGCAGAGAAGCTGATGTTGATATCAATGCTCTCTGCTTTCGGCTGTTGCCGTAAGACCATGGTTACGACCTGTGTATGCGCACAGATTGCATTGTATACGAGGTTTCATTGGAGACGGACAAGTGTTCAATAGAGCAAGCATCCATGCAGAGGTGTGTTGGCGTGGTTTATATACCAGGCAGAATAGATAGGGACAGTGATAAGTAGATACGCAGGATAATAAATTGGACCTCACCTGGTCTCGACCACTTATCGTTTTAGCTCAGCACAGCCCTGCCAGCCCAGTGCAAATCCAGATATAGATCTATCTCTACAGCACATAGAGAAAATCTCCAACAAGAAAGGGGAAGAAATCACCAACATGGCTAATCCGAAAACAGACAAGATATCGATCGATCTTCATCCCTGCTATTGGCAGCTTTACCTCGTATTCGCAGATTATCCTGTCAGCACTTGTGAGAAAGTATCTGTATGAACAAAAAAAAAGGCCTCTTCGTAAGAATGGCCACCACCACCCTGATGATCCATTAACCGGGCGGACTCACCAGTGAACAAAAAAAAATAAATCATGCTTTTCCGGCTCTAGACAGCGACATGGCCATTAAGATATAATATAGTACGGAGTATACGGGATTGTATGCTAATTTCTAGGGCTGCTAGTGCTGCTTGCTTTTTCTTTTTCAGCTTCCACTTTATTTAGTTACATTGTACTAGCTGTCCATTATCATTGCCACGCTTATCTTTATTTTTTTATTATCCACCTTTCTTTTTTGGGCACAAATCTACAGGCTAAGTAAGCTTCTCGGATTAGATTTCTCTCATCAAGTGCGGGGTATTAACTTCGTATATGCACGTGTTATGCAGCTTACTTATTTTAATTTTATCTGGGGTTGAGGAGCGTTGCGCAAATCCGGGGTTTCCGTCCAGTCTGCGGAGTAGGGCTGAGACTATTATATTAATTATTATTAGGTAACCGATTCTGCGAGTGTAATCCCTTTTTCCTGAATTTTTGAGGAACACGAGACAAAGCCAGATTGCTGGCTGTTTTTTTTCACTTATTGTAGTATATAGGTAATGAATGAATTGAACGATTCAATTCGTTCTAGAAGAGCTTTAGCATAACGTAATCCACCCCCGAGCCGGACACCACCTCCGAACGCGTCTCCTATATAGAAATTGAAGCTATTCAACACGCGATTATGCCACCAATTCGCACTGAAAAGTCAAAAAAAATTAATTGAGCAAGAGGGCAGGCTCCAACTTGCAATTTCTGCCATAAATAACGGCCAAATTTCTTCAATTCGCGAAGCTGTTGATTTGTTTGATGTCCCGCGTTCTACTCTCTCCGACAGGCTTCATGGGCGTACTGCAAGAGTCAATAAACGTGCAAATTCTCATAAATTGACCGAAAATGAAGAGGAAACGCTTGTCAAGTGGATTCTGGACCTAGATAAGCGTGGATTACCTCCTCGACCTGCTTTGTGAGAATATGGCTAATCATCTT